ACCAAAAACGATGAGGTTGTTGTACCAGACCAATAAGACATACAACAATAGGTTTTCAAGCGAAAGTAAGCTACATTGCTGCACCTCGGAGATGTGCCCCCACAAATGGCCCTTTCTCAAATTCGCCTCGTCTAACATTTAGTGGTAATTTCTCTCTTCTTCTGGTAGTGTAAGAATGGCTCGGCTCTTCTCCTCAACACGAAGTCTCGGCAATGCCCTGTTGTAGTTCATGTCTACAAAAGAAAAAACAATGAGATTCAGTACACCAATACTTTAGCAAAAATAAAGTTATCTCACCTGTCATCTGCCAAAAGAACGAAATGTCCTCGGCTCCACCTTCCCCGAAAACCAAGTCACCCCTCACAAAGAAGTAGCTGTCCTTCCACTTGTTGTCATACGTCTTCAACCCCGTCACCAAATGCTCCCAATCGTGTCGTAGCATAAAGAGGTATATATCTCTCTCCTTGTCATGCTCCTTTAAATAATATGAGTAGAGTAGAGCAGATCCATAGCTCTGAATTCCATGTGGAGCCGCATGCATAGACACTCAATGGACATGAGCAGTCGTCACACGTTCGACATCAATTGGCTCGGGCCAACGCCATAGTGGCTCAATACCTCACGCACCAATCGTGGGATGGGAAAACACATCCTCTCTACCAGGGTCTACTCGTATATACTAATCCAACCGGACATGGACCAATCCACTCTCTTGTGTCTGGTCGGCACCCTCATCTCTATAGAATCAGGTATCTTTTGAGCTTCGTCATCTCCACCAACTCAAGCCTAGACGACAGATTTTCAACTAACATCTTGACTCCGAGACGACTCTGCTCATCCCTGTGACCACCACTGGTCAAAGGAGCTTCACTCCCATCTGCACGATCCAAGTCGGCAACACTCCCCGATTCGGATTCAGTACTGTCTGAACTATTGCTGCTGAAGTCGTCTTTGCTTGACTCTACAATGCAACCGCTTGGCACGTGCCCGATATGGAAAGCAACATTAACTCCACCAGTTGGAGTCGCCTCACCATCGTCCAAAAGCACCACCATGGTATGCACGTTTTCATATTCGTGACCTCCAAACATCTTCACTTGGCTTGGACACTATACCCCTTTCAATGCTATCAAGAAAAAAATCGACTCCTTGCTCAGCTCGGTGTTGTTGCAACGATAAACCCAAACTCCAAATATCAATACACCCCTCTTTTTCTTACCTTAGATCAAAACCAGAAACCACCCTTCTTCTCAAAAACCATTGAAAATTTCCAAAAAACCACCTTTTTTGTAAAACCTCAACCAACGCAAACCAAAACACCTCTGAGACAATGTATTAACACCCAAAACTCGTCGAAAAGCACAAATGAAACAAGGAATAAACAAAAATAGAAGAAGAAAAGCATTTACAGTGAAAATTGACTGGAAAAAACTCAAAACGTCTCAAAGACTAAGAGTTTCTCGGCTTTCTCTCTCTTGAACGTGACATAAATTGGAATAGGGTGCGAAATGAAAAGACACCACCTTAAATGCTAGTCATTCCATAGGGATATAGGTGGCAAGTCCTGATTGGAAGGCAAAAGGCAGAAACTTTTCATTTCCCACCTCTTGCACCTGCACGTATAACTCCTAAGATGAAACACGTGACACATTTTTTGCCCCACCTTGTGAAACTCATGGTCTTTCACCACACGACACGACTCGGCCAATTGTCACTTTTGGTACCATCTAAGATCTGAAACCCCTACTGTCATTTCTTTGGGACACAAACAATGTATATGCATGGTCCGTAGGGCACTATCGATCATCTAACTTGCAACTCCCATAGCTTTCTGACTTCTCCATTCGACTCTGCCATGATCAAGCAGAGAGTTGCACCGTACTATTCTAGCCTTCTAGGAGATGCTAGCAATAATCTAGTAAGATTGATGTGTTGGAAAACGAAGTCGTCCATTTTGTTTTAGCCAAATTGTTACCATGCCGGTTAGCTCTCTCCTTTTTCTCCTTCCGCGCAGCCAATTCTCTTGACCCGGTGGATGTTGCAGCATCGTACGTCTTTACCTTCAGGCATCCGAGTCAGTCGTCTCACGCTTCAAACAATCCAACAGACAAAATTCCTCCGGGAAAAGTTGTTGAGTCGAATGACCACCTGAATAAGTCGTATCTGGTCCAACATCGGAATATACGTATGATCTTCGTTCGACTCCACTTGGCCGCCATGGCCGAACTGAACCGCCTATGTCCTAGGGTCATTAGCAAACATTTCGAGTCTAATCCTTCACACAAGAATATCGGCTCATTCGTATCCTGTATGAGACTAATTGAATCTACTCTCCAAAGTTAAGTACCCCTTAACTTGGAGAGTGGGGAACAAACTGTATGGGCAAAAAATCGTGTAGGGTCTGACGAGGCCCAACATACAAGATATACAGATGACGACCCAAGGCCTTAGCCCAATTCCTATTGGGATTCATGCATTTTGGACATAGAAATGGTATAACGTGGATGAACAAGATGATGGATGTAAGGTAGAACACAAACATAACACATAAGCCCAAAAAATTTAAAGGTAAGGATGAAATATTACTACTCCTTTGCTATTCAACACTTGAATCTTCTTTCTTGGAATCTTAGTTCTTCAAGTGAAGTTAAAGAACCTCAAAATGTGATCCACACAAGTCAAGGAAGAGAGAGTCGTGAGAGTGAGAGAGAAAATGAGAGGGTGATTTTGCTTTAATTGATTCAATTCAATTAAAATGGCATAAAACTTAATTTATATACCATAAGCACAAAGTATAATTTTAAATTGTTTTGGGAAGGCCTCAAACAATTCCCAAACAATTTAAAATTAACTTGAGAATAAACATTTATGTCAAGTCCTACTTTTTTATGTTTTAATTCATAATTAGACCAAATTTTAGTTCTATTAAATATTCTAACCCTTTAGAATAAAACCAATGCACTTTTGCCCCCATCATTAAATCCAATTCAATAATAATATTTAATAAATCCTTATTACCCTTGGTTAGTGCTAGCTATTCATGGATAATCATTTCTCACCAATACATTAATTCAGATGTAACCGTTTACGTCCGAACATCATTAATCTGATTAATGATATGTATTACTCTCTCTCCTTGAGCTTAGTTTTATGTGTGACCATTTTGGTTCACTGTGATTTAGCCGTGGGCCCAATATCAGATTTTGATAAGTTTTGTTATAACTCTTTATAATCGAAACTCCCACTGATTATGGTAGACGTCTAGCAATGTTCCATAACTCCTAAACTACAATGAAGTGTAAACTCCAATGAACCTATTCTGATCATACGTACCGTGTAGTCAAATCCGTCCGTTACCTAATCCCGATTAAGAATGGTTCATGGTATGTCAAAACCTTTAACTTAATCTTTAATCGAATTGTCAATCGATACAATGAAACTCGTCAACATGAAACTACTTTTCATCTGACATTTATTATACTCTGGCCAGAGATTTTCCTTTTCCAATGTTTATTGACATTCGTTTGGGAACTCGAGATTGAACTATTCTGAGTTAACGGATCCCATCTTGACCATCACTTGTCCTCGCACATGAATAACATATGACCAAACTGGCTTATTACACACGACATGACTAGTCTCATGCTTATACACCATATGAACCATATGCATCCTATGTTGAATCCAACCGTGATGTCTCAGGTCTAAGGATCAATGGTACATTAGCATGATCCTACGATGCATCATTGACCATATCCATGTGATTCATCGTAATCGGTCGTATTCAATAAACAGTTCACTAACCGTTTATCCATGCTAATGCCTTAGTGACATACCTCTTATAATCACCCACACTAATACAATCACATGATATTCAATAGAGACATTCAGCATGCCTACTATGCAATGTTATTACCCAATTGACATTACTTGAGTAGGGAATTCTTTGATGATTTGATCTTCTGAAGATCTGTGTCATCCGGACATTTCACATGCAATGTTAAATATAATATAATATAAATGAAGCAGAAAATCAACATGTGAAATAAGAACACTTTCTTTTATTCATAATACATTTACAAGATATAATGTCCTGAAACTGACAACACGATTGGTTCCTAGGGCATACACTAACAATTCCGATTGGGCCTACGCTTAAATCCATCTTGTGAACTGCTCTTTCTATGAGTTAGGCTATCCTACAAGCTAAGCTAAGTTGGGTTAAGCCCACTAGCCCACAACAATCTAAAATATGAAGCAAAATCCTATTATGTTTGCACTTATATCGGGATCCTGGATTACAATCATTAATGTTAAGCTTAACCCAATAAGGTAAGGGAGATCCTATCTCTAACCCAATAAGGAAAGAAGATCATATCCCTTTCCTAAGAACGACTCCTTTACCTAGTAGGACTCAAAGTCCTACTAGGATTCACATCTCTTGGGTTTACTATATAAACAAAGGCAAATTCCCTCATTATTCATTCAGAAATCACCTGCAACACGTACTAGCTCCTAAGTTCTTGCTCCCAAGAATTGTCATATTACTCTGGTATTCTCCCTTTAAACCCTCACTAAATAGCCTCTCTCAGCCTTGCTGATTTGAGTGTCGGAGTATCTACAACAAGCACCACACATCGGTGTGTATCTAGCCTTCACGTTCCCCTTTTTGTATTCTTTGTGCAGGTCCACCAGGTTGTCAGTGGCTCATCTCTTACAGGATTAGTCCCCCCGATTTGACTGTAGATTTTACTGTTTACACTACTCTTCGTCATAATAGGATTAACAACCATAATTCGTTAAGGTTTAACTTTTAAGCCATCAACACCTAGACTAGGGTGGTTTTTGAATATAGTCTAAAACATTAGGATTAACAAGAAGTTTGACCTTTTGAAAACTATCAACCACACCCCTGTTGCCAAGGAATATTCATGTCGTAAAAATAAAAAACAAAACATAAACGTTGGCACAACGAGACCCGCAGGCCACGTGTGAACGGGAGAAAGGGATATTGATGCGGGTTGTGAGAGCGACCCATCTCAAACGCGCACCAACGCAAAATAATAGTACAAATTTCTAGCGGCTCACATTTGCCGTTGGTACGCAATTTGAGAGAGAGAGAGAGGAAGAAAGAGAGATGACGAGAGGAAAGCAGAAGATTGAGGCGCAAAGGCGGAATGCAGAGAGGAATCAGAAGCCAAAAGGATCTCAGCTTGATGCTCGAGCCGTTGCCCTCAAAGTTAGTTGCCCTATCTGTAAGGTACATCGATCAAAATCTTTTATTATCATCTTCTTTTTCTAACCATAAATCGATAGATCGGATTCTGATGTTAATCGTATTTCTTTTATGCGATATTTACAGTTAGTCCTCTTTAGTTGATTAGTAGATGAATCTTTTTGAGTATTATGATCGATTTACTCGATCACCAGTCCTATGATGTTAATAGCTCTGCATTCTTTTATCTTTTGAAATGTCCGAAAATATCCAAAATAGATGTAAAGTATGCAGAAACAAAAACAAAAACAAAAACAAACTGAGAGAAGACATCACCATGAGTCACTAGTTTTTTAATAGGAATTTTAATGAATGAAGAATGTGTTGATGTTCTTGAACTAATATGTGAATAACACTTCTGTCATTGTTAAATGAGAGGGTGTTGTATTGGATGAGTGCTAGTGCGTTTGGGAGGTCAGAAGTTTGTTGGTAATAGTAAAGTAAGAGTATTTTAGACATTTCAACACAATTTTGTGTTGGAATTCAAAGTTCCTCGAGGGATCATTTAATCAAATAACCTTTTCTTTTTGGACTCTTGGGTGAGGATAATTCTCGTCCAGTGATCCATACCTTCTTGTACTGATATTGCCCATATTGTCAATGGATGTTGGATCTAAAAGGTCTCCACACTGAGATTGTAGTAGGAAGAAGCGTACAACATATCCAATATAGCAATTAATCAGATTATTGTGAAGACGATTAGTTCACCGTAGTGAATATTTGCTATAAGATGTTGGGAATTCGGGTTCTCCATTTGATGTTTGTTTACTTGAAATACTAAATTTCCATCAAAGTCGATATATAAAGTTTCTTTTCCAACCTTTGAGGTTTTCTCTCCACCTTAGCACAAAAAAAGCCTCCGCTAAAAAACTTAGCTATAGGTCTTTCACTTCTAGCTTCCCTAACTCCAATCTTAAATCTTGATCAACATATAAAAAATCTCTATTCAACAAAATCTTTGGGTCAATAATATCAAATTCTATCAATTTGCAAATTTTAACATGGTGTCAAAGTCAATGTGGATTCAATCATAAGATTTTAGATTTCTCCAATATCCTGAGAAACACAAGCAAGGAAGATACACAACAAAAGAAATCTAGAAGCCAAATCAAAAGTTACCTAGGTAACTAAATGTCAATTCCAGGTATGTTTATGATATTATGACAATGAGCTGGGACCAATGCTGAATGAAATTGGAAAGTGAAAAAAGGTAGGACAGCTAAAAGAAGATTGTCAAAATACTTTTGAACTTTGGGGATAGAATTCTCCCTTTTTCATTTTTTCTTAAATGCATAAGTTTGCTAGATGTGAAAATTATTTATTAAGATTGTATTCAAAATTATTCTAAGAGTCTCTTGAAAACATTTTATCATAGGGTTAAAAAAAATTTCAAAGGTCCCTGGAAAACTAGCAAAAGATATTTCTTAAATGCATATGATGACTTGTTCTAGAGTATATACAAACGATTCAAATGTAAGTGATTGGTGTAAGGAAATAATTCAACCATGTCAAGATAATTGAATTCTTTAATAAATTCGGAGTTTTGAAGATCAAATGAAGAATGAGAACTAAAAAAGGAATGCACTGGAGGTAGATGCTGATTCAGGTTTTATCTGAATTATTTGTATATAGTCCAAATCAAGTATTGCTATTGCATTTAAAATATCCTTTTGACTAGTTTGTTGAAAACCTTTTAGATTCTTTTCAAGCCTATTATTCATCTTTTCAGAAACTCAACGTAATCTTGACTGGAATCTCAATGGTTGATTTTTTTTTTTTTTTTTTTTTTTTTTTTAAATCTAGCTTTTGCTGGAATAACTTATGAGTATCCTTTTTAACTCTACTGATTAAAAAGAAAAAATTGGGAGATTTTAATACATAAAAGTGAAGAGTATTTTGACAACTCTTTTTCTGGTTCTCTTTTTCCTTTTTTCAGTTTGAAGGACTGACGCTTTGTTGTCTCTATATCAAGAATCACACCTGGCTTTGAATTTTACTTCTTGTTGATTTAGCTTTTAAATTGTTTTATCTCTCAATCTTCCTTGTGTGCTTTGGGTTTTGGAGAAATCTTGAATCCGCAATGACTCTGATACCATGTTGAATTTTAAGATAGATTTGAAATTGTTGGTACAAGGATCTTTGGTGGATAGTGATATTTGTTTATGCTGATCAGGACTTAGATTATGGAACAATAATATACTTTATTAGGGAAAGCTAGTTATGAGGAGTGAGAGGGATTTTTAAATAACACTTAAGCTAGCATTGAATTTTTCATTCCTTAATGATCCAGGAGATCTTTAATTGTATGAAACCCAAAAAAAAAAAAAAAAAAAAAGATCCTTCCCCCCTCCTCTTTTAACCATGGCTACCGGAATCTTGGTTGAAAAGCCTGAAATTGTTGTTTCCCTTATGTGCCAACCCTGCCTACTGCAGACCTGTTTCATCAGCCTATGTTTGCAGGTATGCAAAGAACTGCACCAGTTTTTGTTAACAAGTATGTATATTTCATTTATATGTTTACTTTGTTTGCAGTGGTATATTTTGATCCCAATCCCTCTTCTTTTATTGCATCTCCATTTTTACTTCGTATGTAACATGTCTGATACATTTTGGTGGTTTCAATGGATTCTGAACCTGGGGCAACTTTCTATTTCAGACACAACTAGCGAATCAGAATCAGCTTGGCGATCATTATTCTTCCAAACATCCAAAGGAAAAACCTCCTGCTGAATCAAGTTGATTGATTTCCTCTTAATGTAAAATATGCAAAATAAAATTAGAAAAAATGAAAAAGAAAAGAAAAATTCATGTCTGTTTGCGGAAGTTCTAATGTGTGCAAACTTTTGTTATCTGAACAGAGGAATTTATTTTTCACTATCTAGTTCTCTGTGGAGTGGGGACTTTGTATGACTGAATGATGATGAAAGCTTGCTGTTTTCTCCTATTTTCGCTTGACTACTAGTGCTGCTTTTTTTTTTTTTGGGGGGGGGGGGGGGGGGGAGCTTGTCATGCTGTTGTGGCTAAGTCACGGGTTCTTGCAGGTTGTTCCAGGAAAAAAAAACATAGAATTGATTGATTCTTTTATTATAGCACATTGAAGTTGAACATCGAATTTTTGACCGGCAAGGCGGCTGGCTTCAAGTTTATATTTTATCTTCAACTGGCCTACTGTTTCAGTTCACTGCTTGAAGTGGAACTTTTTTGTTTAATGTCGCAGTGAAAACATTTGAACCTAAAGTAAATACTAAGGCTTCATTTGTTACACTCTTTCAAATGTTATTCTGGTTTTTTCAATAAAGTTAAAACCAAAAAATACATTTGTTTTAATATTTTCAAAATCTTATTCTACTTTATTATCTCCTAAAACATTAATAATTATTTTTCTTGTAAACATAATCTAATTTTTTTTTTTAAAATATTATTCTAAAAAGTATCAGAATAATGAACCAAGTGGACCCTAAATATTTTTCAGCTTTAGGCAAATTTTCCTCTTATACTGATTCATATGGTTATATCTGGATTCAGCCAGAAAATAATGTTTTTATTCAGACATCATATTGTTATTTATCACTATTTTACATATATTTAGAGATTTTTCACTTTTCAAGTGTAATATGTTTTAAAAATCCATTTTGAATTTTTTATTTCGTTTTCGGAAAACAATTTAAACTTTTCTTAATCAGCCTTTCGGTGTGTCGAGCCAACCTACATTAAATCCTCACTCTTGAGTTCTTCATCAAAGAAACAAAATAAAAAGATATTTAAATCCATCTTCATTCTTAGTATTTCTCAGATTTTACAATTCTTGAATCCGCACGTTGTGAGAGAACATCCGGGCAGAGTCTCAGCTCCGAAAAACCAGCAAGTCAATCGTTGAACACTTCTGAAAAACAGAAAAATCAGTTTACAGAAAGATCACAAAATTTTAAACTTTCCACAGAAAATCTCTACTTTTGAACCATATCTCAAAGGCTTGTGTGATACGCATAATTTGGCTAAAATGGACATCCACATCAAGTTTCTTCAATGACTTTGAATGCTAAGAACAGCAAATTGTATATCCAGCATATTTTTTACAGATAAATTCAATATCACAGGCTATAAACACCATATCAATCAACACACCATTAAAAAATAATATAAAATCTAATAGTTTAAACCCAAATTTCTTACACCAGGCAAGCATAGCCACTAGAATGAGTACAATACACACAAACACACCAGAAGCTGCTTTTAATGAGTTACATAAAAAAAATAAGAACAACATTCAAACCGAAACAGAAACTACACAAGATCATGTTTACTTGTATGAATAGAATATATTTACATGAAAAAAGAAACGAAAGGTGTCAATGGAAACACTTTCTTCATAACAGCGGCAGTATCCCAACATTTTGAACTATCTGTACTGTAAATTAAGACCAAGAAATGAATATTTCTCCTCTTGAACACAAAAGAATTTCTTCAAACTCTATGTGACTAAATTAGCAAATAGTGGATCTTATTGCATAATATAGTTACTTTCCATATGTTTCTTGCACATAATTTTTNCTTTAGGCAAATTTTCCTCTTATACTGATTCATATGGTTATATCTGGATTCAGCCAGAAAATAATGTTTTTATTCAGACATCATATTGTTATTTATCACTATTTTACATATATTTAGAGATTTTACACTTTTCAAGTGTAATATGTTTTAAAAATCCATTTTGAATTTTTTATTTCGTTTTTGGAAAACAATTTAAACTTTTCTTAATCAGCCTTTCGGTGTGTCGAGCCAACCTACATTAAATCCTCACTCTTGAGTTCTTCACCAAAGAAACAAAATAAAAAGATATTTAAATCCATCTTCATTCGTAGTATTTCTCAGATTTTACAATTCTTGAATCCGCACGTTGTGAGAGAACATCCGGGCAGAGTCTCAGCTCCGAAAAACCAGCAAGTCAATCGTTGAACACTTCTGAAAAACAGAAAAATCAGTTTACAGAAAGATCACAAAATTTTAAACTTTCCACAGAAAATCTCTACTTTTGAACCATATCTCAAAGGCTTGTGTGATACGCATAATTTGGCTAAAATGGACATCCACATCAAGTTTCTTCAATGACTTTGAATGCTAAGAATAGCAAATTGTATATCCAGCATATTTTTTACAGATAAATTCAATATCACAGGCTATAAACACCATATCAATCAACACACCATTAAAAAATAATATAAAATCTAATAGTTTAAACCCAAATTTCTTACACCAGGCAAGCATAGCCACTAGAATGAGTACAATACACACAAACACACCAGAAGCTGCTTTTAATGAGTTACATAAAAAAAATAAGAACAACATTCAAACCGAAACAGAAACTACACAAGATCATGTTTACTTGTATGAATAGAATATATTTACATGAAAAAAGAAACGAAAGGTGTCAATGGAAACACTTTCTTCATAACAGCGGCAGTATCCCAACATTTTGAACTATCTGTACTGTAAATTAAGACCAAGAAATGAATATTTCTCCTCTTGAACACAAAAGAATTTCTTCAAACTCTATGTGACTAAATTAGCAAATAGTGGATCTTATTGCATAATATAGTTACTTTCCATATGTTTCTTGCACATAATTTTTCCCCTTTGCAAAGATTTTTTTTTCTTTAGAAACAAAGTATTTTCTCACCTGTTAAGCATTCACTTCCTTTACAAGCAACAACCAAACCAAAATCCTCCACTTTAGAGATTATTTTCTTTGATAAGTTTGGTCAACAGGGTAGTCAATAGGGCATCCCTCCTCTCGGCTCGTCTTTCTTCTTTCATCCTCCTTTGTTCCTCTTTCTCCCTCCAAGCCTGTTCAACCATTAACATCTCCCTCTCATGTTTCTCCATTCTCTGCCTCCATTCCTGCTCAAGCAATTGCCGCTCTCGCGCACGCCTCTCCATCATCTCCCTCCACTCCATCTCCATCCTTTGTTGCTTCTCAAAAAATTCTTTAAGCAATTCCTCGATTCTTCCACCACTACTGCCAGCTCTCGAAGACTTATCCGAAACATTTCTTTCAATCTTCCTCTTCCGAGAATTACCTCTAGCAGGCACCTCCTCCTCATTTTCATAGTCCTCATCAACATCTTCCTCATCAGACAATTCATCTGAATACCTATTACCACTCAATTTCTTCCCCCTTTTCTCCGATTGAGAAAGTAACCTCTGCATGTTTTTTGCTCTTTCAGTAAATACTGCATGCATTTCATCAAAGAATGGACATTGCCGCCCACTCTCCGGATCAGATGTCTCCTTGCCCTGCATAAATTAAACCTCATTGACTCATTGTCCAATATCAATTTCACATTAACATAAATGTGAAGAATTTCAATTAGTCTGCCCTAAACACTAATTCTGATTCCATCCACACACATTATTTACATAATATTACATATGACGATGCATTTACACAACCAAAATTTTTATGTTTCTTTTAAAACACTTTTAGAATGGAACTTATATGAAAATGTTAAAACTAATTAAAACTCATAAAATCCTTAAAACTTAAAAGGGGTGCTGAATTTCATTACCTTGTAGCGATTGAGAAGGTTTTTCCATTTGCATTTACATTGATCGGGAGTCCTGGAATAGCCTTTCTCTTTCATTTTAAAACTAACAATTTCCCATACTGTTTTGTTCCGTTTGATTCCAGTGAATTCTCTTTCAATTTCTCCACGAATTAGTATCAAATCCCGAGTCTCCTCGTCACCCCACTGGGCTTGCATTCTGATGCCCTCTTCCCCAATCCCCGAAAATCGACGCTAGGGTTTTTTCATTGGAAGAATTGAACTCAGTCTTACGCCGTCGTTTTAAACCAAAGTTTTAACCTCCGTGTCACTGTTCAGTATTTAATTAATTTAATCTCGCAATTCCCGGGAATTGCAAGGAAATTTACTAGCGAAATTCCGTAATTACCCCTTATAAGACAAACTCACAGGCCATGTTTTGCTGAAGAAGATAAATCGACATGGAAAAATTCATTAATTTAGCTTAGATCGTGCAAGATGGGCTATTGGTTCATAATAAAATCATGAATTGCAAACTGTAAAGCTTGACCCTTTGTTTGACTATATCGAATCTAATTGTAAAACTTTATGCTACTTTTATGTTTCTATTTGCTTGTTATTTTACACTAAATTTTGAATCTCAATCATCCAAAACGACTAAAATTTGTGTTATAATTTGTATAAAAAATTATGGTGCTCCCAAAATATATTGCTTGATGAGGGTGAGCAGAATTAAATATCCCTTGGACAATGTATGGCAACTTTATCAAGCTCATCGCCGAAGAATTAAAGGTTTCATTCATATCATCATTCATCTACACCCTATTTTATCTACGTCATAATTTATCTAAGATCATAAATCTTACATAGATTATAACTCTTACCCCTAGAAAGTCAAGTAAATTAGGATTTTCCTATTTACTAAAACTTTGTCATTAGGCTCACTATATATAACATAGGTCATGTCTACTTGCTAACCACTATCATTTTTGCCGTAGTTTTAGTCTTCAATGAAACTCCGGTAACCTTTCCTCTTCATCAAAGTATCTACAATAGACATCACACTGGTGATCCTTGTGAGTTTCGCGTTTACTTTATTGTGTGTCCAAGTCCAATAGATCCATAGTTCCTCAACATTACAGAATCCGCCCATTCCGTGCCCTAGATATTTACCATGTACAAACAATAAAGAAGTGAAGTGGGTAGGGAAGGGTTTAGGGTTGCGTTTAATTAAAGCTGTCTTCTTCACTGAAAAACAAGTAACAATGAGTCCAGCATATGCAGTCCATTTATGGGGGCGGGGGCTCATAAATGGAAAGCATTAAATTTGGTTTGAAAGAAGAGAAGGGTTTTGGCTCTTGAGTGATTGGGAAGTCGAAGTTGGCCTTTTCACTTCTAATTCCAACAAGCTTGATAGCTGTCATCTTTAGAATTTAGATTTCTTTCTTCAAAATCACAGTTTGCTCATCTAAACATCCTTCGTATAAAAATACTATAAGAACCCAAAAGAATTTATTCTACATCCCCACCAACCTTTTGCTCAAGATAAGTCAACTTTATCATACCTGAAATATACATACTCGTTTGAAGACATTCACGAGATGAACATATTAATATCAACGTAGTGGTTTGGTTGTGACAATTATTTTCATAAGATGGTAATGTTCTATCTTTTAGCTTTGGTGTTGTCAGTCCATATCTCATAATGAACCAAAATATACGTCTCCATTGGTGAACTATTCATTATCACAAAGTCTTTATTGGTGGACTTTCAAGTGGCGGAGTAGTTAGGTTCAATCAATATATGGGTAGTTGAAAATTTATTTAACTTTTTAAAATTATGAATAAACAAAGACATTTCATAGTTTCTAAAACAAGTGGGAGTACATTGATTAAAACTAAAACCTAGTGGGCGTAAAATGTAATTTACTATAATGAATAAATAATTGACGTCAGTGCAAGCGCAAGTGAATGCCATGGACCACACGTGAGAAGAGACCCAGATTTCAGCATCTCATCTCAATTCTCATCTTAGCCTTTTTCACTCACGACAAAGGCTACTTTACGTGGGAAAAGGGCATATCGTGCATGAGATGCCCTTTTCCCAATCACACGCTACTTTACGTGTCTTTGCATGTGTGGTGAGGTTCACTGAACATGAAGTCATGATTCATGAACCCTAACCCGCTGTCTCCTTCTCATATCATCTCATCTCATGCACGATATGATATTTTATATTTTAGATTTTCACTATACCTTCCCCAAGTCACCGAAAACATATACGAGAATCTATTTACCTCAAGAGGCCGTTTAATCGGAAGTTATATGAGATTACTAAAATTAAAATTAAGTCATCATATATTACTTAATTATCATGTTTGGTTTGTTAAATAGTATAAGATTTTAATAATTTTAAAATACTAAATTATCTCTATTTTCTTAGGTATTGTAAGGCTATTTGGGTAATTTTTTTTTTGTTACAATTATATCCCTTATTAATAAAATTTTAGGACAATAATACCTTTATTTTTAAATTTATTTACATGAATCTTACTTTTATCATTTCACCCCAATTAATTAACTTTTTGGATAAAATTACCCTTGAAATAAAAACAAATTTCAGCTAACCCAAGCCACCATCCCCACCCACCTGCTGCCGCCAACCAAACCATCGCTGGCCATCGCAGGAAGTCGTCGGAAGTCACCTGGAGTCGCTTTGAGCACCCCACTATGACCGGAAGGCCCCGATATGGCCATTTTTGGCCATATTGATGGCTGAAAAAGCCATATTGGGAGCAGATCTGGCCGGATATGGCCATTTTTTGCCATCAATATGGCTAGAAACGGCCATATCGGAGCCTCATGGTCACTATGAGCTACTTACAGTGACTTTTGGAGACTTCTGACTGTGATTTGCAGTAGTGGCAGGGGGTGGGGGTGGGGGTGGGGGTGGGGGCAGGGGTGATTTTGTCATAAATTAAAGTTTTATATAAGTGGGGGTGTTTTAGCTAAATCTAAAATATTGGGGGTTAAAAAAATTATTCAAAAATTAATAATAAAAATAATATTATATTAATATTTAAAAAGAGGGCAATTTAGTAATTTAGATAACATACCTACCAATTTATTCCCCATAACCAAACATATTAATATAACATACGCACCAACTAACCAAACACATTTTCCTAAATATTTTCAATAATCTTTTTGGTAATATAAAATTCTAGTAATTCAATATTCTCTGAACCAAACACACCCTGAAGATTATTGAGAATCTTTATGAAAATGTGTTTTGTTAGTTGGAATAAATGGGTAGGTATGTTATATTAATATGTTTGGTTAGGAGGAATAAATTGGTGAGTATGTTATTTAAATTACTAAATTGCATTCTTTTTAAATATTAATATAATATTATTTTTATTATTAATTTTTAAATAATTTTTTTAACCCCCAATATTTAAAATTTAGCTAAAACACCCCGCTTATATAAAAATTTAATTTATAACAAAATCATCCCCACCACCCTGCCACCATCACAAACCATAGTTGGAAGTCGTCGAAAGTCGCTTGGAGTCACCGTGAGCAGCCCACCATGACCGGGAGGCCCCAATATGGCCGTTTCTAGCCATATTGATGGTTGAAAACGGCCATATCAAACTAGATCTGGTTGTTAATGGCTAGATCCCTAGCCATTATCGGCCAGATCTGGGCAAGATATGGCCGTTAACGACCATATCTCATTCAGATATGGCCGCTAAAGGCCAAGGGTCTGGCTGTTAACATCCAAACCCATCAATCTGGCCGGAAATGGCCAAAATAGTTCTGGCCAGATTTGCTCCCGATATGGCCTTTTCGGCCATCAATATGGCTAGAAACAGCCATATCGGAGCCTCCCGGTAATGGTGGGCTACTCCCGGTGACTCCCAGCGACTTCCCACGGCAACTGGTAGTGGTTTGGCTGGCAGCAGGTGGGTAGGGGTGGTGGCTTGGGTAAGTTGAAATTTGTTTTGATTTCAAGGGTAATTCTGTCCAAAAAGTTAATTAATTGGGGTGAAATAGTAAAAGCAAAATTCATGTAAATAAAATTAAAAATAAAGGCATTATTATCCTAAAGTTTTATTAATAAGGGATAGAATTGTAACAAAAAAAATTACTTTGATAATCTTATAATACCTAAGAAAATAGAGGTAATCAAATTACCTCCATATTACCAACAATAACTATTATTGGTATTTGAAGATTACCGAAATCTTATATTACTTGACAATCAAATGTGGTAATCAAGTAATATAAGATGACATAACCCAAGTAATCTCACATAACCCCCAACCAAACGCCCCGTTATAGTCATAGGAATAACCCTATTTATTAGTTCCAACTTGGGTCAGCTATAAATAAGAATAAATTTTATTTTGTAATAAGTTATAATTTTTCTAGGTCTCATCTTAAGGAACTTACCTCTCCATTGTAATAATTATATATATATTGTAAAAATTATACGCTATGTTACATTAAAGGTTTAAGATGAAATAAAATATTTATCTAAAGTCATTCAGGTCAATGATTTATACTTTAGAGATGTTACCACACCTTTCATCTCCTGAGTACATAATAAATCGCCAACATAGACATCTTCTTGTTGAAGCCAAAATATTTCTAGCTCTCAAACATGTTTAAAGCTTATCGGCACGAAGCTTTTGGTATTTTCATACTATCATCCTCAGGATTATCTCCTTCCTCTTTTTATCTAATTCCAATAATGATTTTTTCTTCAGTTAAAGCATACACGACTTATTGCTCATTTGGATAATTGAAGAAGACATTAATATCAATTTGACTAGAGTAATGAAGTCATCAAATCTGATCACTCAATTTTGCAATGACTCTTTGATACTGATTTCTATACTATCCTAATGCTATTGAAACAATAAATTCTAATTCTAATTCTACTAAAACATGAATTATAAAATAAGAAATGAATACAATAATTTTTAAATCAAAACAATAATTCTTATAACTACACTTCTATTAAGTCATAACCTCTAACATTATGACTATATAGAGGTTCTACTGTATTATACAAATTAAAAATATATATACAGTAAAACCTCTCTATAGTGATACTCTATATAGGAATAAACTCTACATAGTCATAAAAAATTCTAGTCTCAATTTGGGATAATTATAAATAAGAATAAACTCTACATTGTAATAAGTTATAATTTTTCTAATTTCTGTCTTAAGAAACGTTGCCTCCACCTAGTCATAATTATCTGTATATTACCAAAAAATATAT